AATAGTGATGAACACTCAAAAATTGGAGCCATCATGCCTCAGTCTATCTTTGTACATGCTATGAGACAGGCGCGGTAGGACTAACCTTGGAAATACTAGATGTCAGTGAGACAGAGGAACTAATACCTGAGACAGTGCGATCATTATTAGGGGAGTTTCAAGATGCCTTGATGGATAATATGCCACTTGGATTGTGGTCTTTGTAAGAGATTCAATATGCTTTAGACCTTATCCCATGTTTAGTGCTTATCAACCGACTAGCCTATTGGATGCAGCCAACAAAGAATGAGGAGCTACAAAAGTCAGTTGATGATCTGATGGTTCTAGAATTAGTTCGTGAGAGCACTAGTCCATTTGCTGTGCCTGCTTTGATTGTGCAAAGAAAAGATAGATCATGACGCATTTGCATAGATAATAGGGCTGTGAATAAGATCACAATCAAGTACATGTCTCCCATTCCTAAATTGGTCGATTTGCGTGATTAGTTGTAGGGAGCTAGTGTCTTCTCTAAGATTGATCTATGCGGTGGCTATCAACAGATTAAGATGAGATGAGGGGATGAGTGGAAGACATAGTTTAAGACATGAGACATTGTATGAGTGCACCTTCATGATCTTTGTCCTGTCAATGACTGCAACACTTTCTTGCAACTGATGAACCAAGTTTTTCAAGCCTTTATCCAAAAACTTGAGATAGAATTTGCGAAATTTTTTTTAGATTCTTTAGACAAAGCAATTATATGGTTACCCAAAGAAGTGTTATTTTCTTATACCAGAGACGTGTTCTTTAGCATAAATTGTTTTAGTTCCTGGCATTGACATGGACCTAATGAAAATTGAGGGTATTGTAGCTAGTGCAGACCATAGTCATTTACTCAATTATGCGGTTTCATGGTCTAACTTATTTTTATTGACGGTTTATCAGGAATTTTAGCTCGATCGCAACTGCTTTGATGGAGCTTCTCAAGTCAGATAAATTTGCATAGTCACATGATGCTCAGGCTAGGTGACTCAAGCCCCTGTTCTCACACTGTCATATTTCAATCAAGTGTTTGAGGTAGAGTGTGACACCTCTAATTTGGGAATTGGAGCTGTATTAAGTCAAGGAGGGCATCCCATTGCTTTGTTTAGTGAAAAATTGAATGATTACAGGAGAAAGTACTCTTCTTATGACAAGGAGTTTGATGCTATTGTGAGAGCCCTTAATCACTGAAGTCATTACCTACTGTCAAATGAATTTATTCTCTTCACTGACCACGAGGCCCTAAGGTTCCTGAATGGTCAAAATAAGTTTAAGGGTAGACACGGCTCATGAGTGATATTTTTTTTTAATTCCATTATGTAGTCACATATAAAGTAGGGAGTCAAAATAAAGTAACTGATGGACTAAGTCATCGCCACTTATTACTCCTTATAATACAATCAAAGCTAGTTAATGAGGTGCTGGAAGACTTGTATGCAGCTAATGAGGATTCTAGGACATTTGGATGCGATGCTAGAATAGGCCATATGTGCAATATCACAAATCTAATGGATACCTAGAATAGATTGTGCATTTTTCAAAATTCACTCGGGGGATATATTTTACTGGAATGTCATATTGGGCTAATGACAAGACACTTTGGCGGAGACAAGATCCTATCTTTAGTGAAAGTGAATTTTGATTGGCCCAAATTGGTATAAGATGTGGAGAGGCATGTTGTAGTGCAGGGTATGCCACTTGGCTAAGACTCGAGTGCATAACACAAGTTTGTACACTCATTTTCCTGCTCCAAAGGCACCTTGGTTGGGCCTTAGCATGGACTTTGTGGTGTGCTTACCTCAGAAACAACGAAGTAAAAAATTTTATTATGATTGTGGTAGATCATTTTTCCAAGATGACAAGTTTTGTTCCTTGCACTAAGATGATGGGTGTGTCACTTATTGCCAACTTATATTTCAAGAAGATAGTCGACTACGTGGTATACCCCAAAACATTATGCTAGATAGGGATGTGAAATTTCTCAATCATTTTTGGAGGATTTTATGGGGCAAGTTAGGCACAAAGTTTCAATTCAGCTCAACAGTTTACCCTCAGATAGATGGGTAGAGAGGTTATAAACCGCATTTTGGGTCATCTTCTTAGATGCTTTGTTGGAAAGAACATCATGTAGTGAGATTTTAATTCTTTTTCAAGTGTAGATTGACTATAATCATTTTACAGTCAATCCATAGGTCACAACCCCTTTGAGATTTTGTACTAGATGATACCTCTTACACCTTTAGAATTTGACGCGCCAGTGCTAACTACTTAGCTTAGCATTGATGCTGAGGCTCGAGTTTAAGATATTCAGATCTTACACAGGCAGGTCAAGAAGAAATTTGTCAAGCAGAACACTAAGTATCAAAAGCAGGCTAACAAGTCCAGGAAGGCCCTAGTTTTGAAGGAAGGTGACATGATATGTATTAGGTTAAAGAAGGGCGATTTCATGCTGATTCATTTGGAAAGCTCAAGCCTGGAGCTGATAGTCCATTCATAATTGTTAGAAAGATCAGTGACAATACCTATACGATTGACTTATCGGGAGATTGTAATATTTTCGATACTTTTAATGTTGCTGACTTGTCGCCGTACTACAAGGGCTTGAATGTCTCCATAGGCGAAGGTGATGCCCTCGTACCTTGGGTATTCGCCTTCATACATTGGGAGAGTGACTGCGGGATGCAGTTTCCCTTGATACCGCGATCGCGATAGTCCAGCCGATCGAATGACTGAACATATGCCTTTTGTGTTATTTTATTTTATTTCCTTTTTTTATTTTCATCAAGTTTTCTTAATGTAATTCATTCATTTCTTATTCTTTTTTATTTCTCTAATTTCTAATTAGGCCATTCTCTCTTTGGGGACCTATAGGTGGTATTCTGTTTTTAGATTTTTCTGTTTGGGTATTATGCATTTTGACAGTATTCATTGATTTCCTCTTCATTGGAGTTTCGTAGCCTCTTCCTTTCGCAAGTGGTGTATTTGTAGCTTGCCCAAGAATAAGTGATGGATTCCACTTACCATCCGCACCTCGCTAATTCGCGCCACTATTTTCCACTGGACAGCCGTCAAAGATGCTGCTACCTGCTGGTTACAGCAGGAAACTTCTTTCTGCTTTCAGTTTGCTGCTGCCCATCGTTGTTCACGCTGCTTTTCACCTGCCATCCATCCTCCTTACTCTCGTAATCAATATTAAAACCTCCCTAACACTTTTTTATGCTTTATCACACCTTTTAGGAACCCTAAAACGGTGCCAATGGTTATCATAAACTTTTTTTTTTCTCCATATATGATAGATTTTTGCCTTGTCCAGTTCTTAAGCCTTGTAATGAGTGTAAGCTTTGATAAAAAAAAAAAGCTTTGATATCAAACATTTCATGCCATAAAAAAATTAAAAAAAAATCTTTAGTACCAAACATTTCATTCCATCATCTTGAATAACAAATTGTTTTCTTTAAAGTGAAATCAACATTTTGAAATATTTATGAAAATTTAGTCAATTTTCAATTTGAAAATTTTTGGTTTAAAACTTATGATTAGGCACGTGTAGAGCATAGCTAGAAATATGGTTTAAAATTGTTTTATTTGAGGCATGTCTCAACGCTTTTAAAATTCATAATGGGTTTTACATCATTTTGGGTACTACATGTGGCTTATGCTTGACTATTGTGAGGAGCACCTCAATGAGCTATTCGCCTTAGTTTTGGCGACTCATTTGCAAATGGATCTAGGGATTTCTGTTAAATAAAGTATAATTAAAATTTCTTTAATAAAATACTCCTTACACAAATAATATATAATTGCGGATGGAATTGAATTTGTAAATATTAAGATAGGTATTTTAAAATTTAATTAATCTTCATTTTAATAATTATTGATTAGCTAAGACGAAGTTGATTGTGATTGAAGATGATGAAGAGAAATGGGAGAGCATAGACACAACCTATGATGGGGTGTGAGAGAGAGCAACTCGCAATGCCAATATTTCTAATAAAGACCCATTGTGTGATGGAAGTGTTCTAATCTTGGTGGGTTACGTTCTCACTTTAACGGAGGACTGCAGGAGTGGATGGGAGATATCATTATATCAAATTTATTTTGAATTGCTATATTATCATATCTTATTTTGATTTTTGTATGACCCTTCTATTTTATGATTTGATGCTTAAATGTTAACATGTTACTTCTTACTTCATAAAATTTTTTAATTTTATTATGTTAGGTTATTAATATGTTGCTTCTTAATGTATTTTAATAGATCAGGATATTAATATATTCCATTTATTATTTACTTTAAACTTAGCACAATACTTTAATCAATTTGTTGTTTTTTAGGCTTACGACACAAAAAGTCTCTGTACTTGCATCACAGATTGAAAATGCATAAGTATTTAATTGTACAATTGTACACCTTGGTCGGCAATGGTTTATTCGAAGTTATTTATAAGTTGTTGCCCAACTGTTATGTAGATCTTTGCAAGTAGAGATGAAAAAGTTGCAAGCTTAATAAAAAAATCATTCTCGTTTTTGTTTGACCATGTAAATCTATGACCCAGAGGTGAAAGGTCTATAAACTAAAGAAATTGATTTAATCAACAAAGCGATCAAAGTTGTTAAAGGCTCAAGTTTCACATCAGCCTAATGCTCGAGGAGGTACTAGGCACTTGAGTTTGGCACTAAATAAATTGATCTATTTTTATTTGATAAATACTTTTGGGATTTACATGATGATATTTGCTTAATAATCTTAAAATTTAGCAGACAAGACACATTTTTATGTTTAGTTTTTTTTTTCAAATGCCAAAAAAATCATGCCTTACATATTTGCATTTTTCGTTAGCATCTGCATGTTTGAACTAAATGAATTACTTTTTTAGCATTCACACGCTTGAATTCAAATGTAGAAGTCAACCTTTTTTTGTACAGTCAAGTTGTGAATTTATTGATTCACTACTGGAATCCTTTTAATAATATCACAGCAATGAAACTCAGAGCATTGGCCTTCTGTCATATACATTCTTGAGAAGAACAATGAAAGATGACATCATTGTGCCGATGGTGATACTCTTTGATTCATTGATATTATTTTGTTGAAAAGTACAACTTTTCTAAATTGGAGCCTACTTTTTGCCCTTGCAGCTTGATTTTGGAAGTTCTGTAAAGCAAATGCAGCCTTTAGTTTATAGTTCCCAAGATGATTGGGATGATAGCCTACGAATAATTCTTGATTGGTCACCATTTTCTTCTGAAGAGCAACTCCTGCAACAGGTTTAGTTTCTTCTCGAAATGGATTATGTTCCCTTGGTATGTGATGGTTTTTGTGCTTCACCATGAGGAAGCTAAGATTTATTTGACGAGTTTTTATGGAGTTTAGAGAGTGGATGTACACCCATCAAGGGGACAAGCCACTATATATCTTGCAACCTTTGTCTGCGTTGTTTTTTTACTCCTGTTCTTGTATTTGTTTACATGAAATCTTTATACATTTGTCCTCATATTCTCCCTTGCTTGGTGAATCGATTGTGATTAAAGTTATTTTTAGATTCTTTTTTTTTACAAGACACATGAGTCAATCTCCCTACTCATCTTTTGTTACTCGGAAGCTAAGCGCCTATTTGGGATCACTTTCTGGTTTTTGTTTTTATTTTTGTTTTTAGTTTGTTTTGTTTTTGTTTTTTTTTATTTTCTATTTTTAGAAAATGCATTTGGTTCTGTAATGATTTATATGTTCTGAAAAATAAAAAAAATATAAAACATGTTTGGTTGGTATTTTTTTTTAATTATATCTTTTATAAAATGGTTGGGTCCACGTCACATTCCAATATTAAGCTCTGTCATCTATTGCGTATATGACGTTTTTCTTGCTCCACCCATCACCAATAATTGTTGTACTGGTGGTGCTGGGGGCCTAGCGACAGGCGGGTGACGGGGCAGACGACGGTGATAGCAGAAAACAAATATTCGGGCGGCGGGCGGCATTGTGCATTTTCTAAAGGCTTAATTTATAATATATATTTAGAGACGGGTCTGTTTAAGGTGTTTTAAAAATAGTAAATTTTTTTTTCTATTTTGGATATTTTAAAAACTGATATGTTATTTCTAAAATTAGAAATTAAAAATAAAATAAAAAACAGTTAAACATACACTTTCTCAGTTTGTTTCCCGTTTTTTGTTTTCAACAACAAAAAAACAAGAAAGAAAAATTGATCCCAAACAACCCCTAAGTTTTTGCCTGCTTCATTTATACTTTCGCGGTTTTCCTTTGTGTTTTGCCACATGGAGCTTGCTGTTACCTCTACAAGACTTTAATCTTAAGTGGAACATACTTGATGTAAGCAGCATGGTTAACTCTTCTTTTGTTAGAAATTACTTATTTCCAATGATACACCATTAATATTTGCCATATTACAGTGAGCTTTATTACTGTTACATAATGAATTAAGTTTTAATTATCCACTGCCAATACTCAACTTAGCCTGAAACTTCTGTGAAGTGTAACAAATCTGAATGATCTAAAAAGTGATGATGACATGTAGTTAGTGTGAAATTTCAGTGAATGTTAGGTGACTGCTGCAATAAAACCCTGTTTTTACTTGTGGAGCGTTTGGTAAACTCTTAAAGTTACGGATTTGCACTTAATTTTGGTTTGGGACATGTTTGGTACCCTGCTATGTTAATGCGGCTCGGCTCGTCAATGGGTTTCGATGTGCTGTCTAAAGGCATTAGTGGAGGAAGGTCCTCTACCTGTTGCGGGCAGATTTTTGAGGATGATTTTTATTTATTTATATATTTTTACCTTTATGGGGAGGAGGTGAACCTACAGCAAGAATGAGGCATGGAGTTTTTAATTTCATCATCAGCAAAAGAGGGAGAGAAGGGGTCTCATAGTAACGTCATTGGAATATTGTTATAGCGTCGATCCTTCGGTAAGAGAAACATGCGACCCTTTCTTTTCTTCTTTGATCAGTTAGTGCACGATGCGTCATCCTCTTGCACTGCAGCTGCTCACAAGTTATTCCACTTCTTCCTTCTACTTCTCCCCCTCCCTCTCTCTCTTTCATCTCTCTCTCATTTCTGCCTGTCTCTTACCCCCGTCACTACCCCTATCACCGATTTTAACGAGACTAAGTTATTAGTCTTCAAACGACGAAATCGCAGAGGCGTTTGTTCGAACTGACTCACCCATTTGGTAAAATTTTATTTTAATTAGTTTTTTTTTTCAATTATTACAAGAGGTGCGACACTATTATGAGCATAAGAAGCCGCCAAAGCTGAAGAAGGAGAGCAATTGTATCTTGCATGTGCAACCCTAGTCGCGTTGAATGTTAGGGAGGAGCTTCCGTGCAGGTGCTTTCTAGAAGTGCCACATTGAGCCCTAATGTGCTCCGAAGAGAAGAGTCGAGCATCTCCGAAGAGAAGAAAGAACAGAAAGGACAAGGATTCGCCGCAAGCACAAAGGAGGAGATGGAGGGAATCGAGTGGCTTCAACGCGAATGAAAAAGGAAGAACTGAGTGCCTTCTATGCAGGTTCCAGCATAAGAGAAAGGAAGATGCGGGTCTCGCGTACGGGAAGGGGTGTTTCGACATAATCAAGCCAATGTGTAGGGTTTTATGTTATTAATTGATGATCAATTGATATTGTTATGTTAATATTAATATAAAAAATTAAACAAGGGAATTGAGGAACTTCTTACTCAAAAGAATTAATGGTTTTGATTTTTTTTTTTTGGTAAAGATGAAGATATGACTGAGGTAAGTTATAGTTAAGTTTTGTTTAGGATTTTACATACTTCATTGAAAAATATTAATTATTGTTTTATGTATTAATGTTAGGAATTAAAAATTTTGATTAGAGGAGATCAATTTAGTTGAGAGAGAGGTTCAAGGAAAGAAAAACCAAGGAAATATTTTTGATGTTTGTTGTTAATTCAGAAAATTTTATGCAAAATAATTTATGAAAATGTAAATGAAATTATTAATTTAAGATATAACATAACTTTAATTTTTAGACATAAAGCATGATATAACAAATTTAATATAAAGGCAATTAGTTTATTTTATATAATATTATGATTCATGCTTATAGATATTAGTAGAGGAAACTGAAAGTTCAAGGTGTGTGAATCATTAAGGTGAAATCAATGTAAGTATTAGTGTTTTACTCACGTTAAATTCAGTTTCTTTAATTTTCGAAATGTTTCATAAACACCCTTATAATCAAAAGAAGATAAATGGAAAGGATATATGACTGTTTTAGGTTTTAATTCTTTTATCATTTGTTCTGTATTAACTGAAAAATTAAAGGAATTTAATGGATGAAAGAAATGAATTATAAGTAAGATAAGAGATAAATTATTAACTATATCGGGAGTTATCTCCTTATGATACTAGCTAGGTACGTTATTGTACTCGTGCATATTAAAAGAAAAAGAAATGAAAATGGTTGTCTTTATGGTACAAGATGGGAAAGAGTTGTGCTTTTACGGTATAAATGGGAAAAAAATTGTACTTTTATTTTACAAAATATAAAATATTTAACGGTGCTCATGAGATGACCTTTAAAATAAAAAATATATGGAAAAAGCAATTGATTAAATGAATTGAAAATTTAATTGATTAAGATGATTTAATATAAGCTTCATAAAATAAAAAATGCAAGTTTACTTTAAAGGTTGATCATCATATTCTTTCAAGTATTTTTGTTAGGCAGTTGTATAAAAATTTAATACATAATAGAATGATAATCATTCATTAAATTATTTAAACTTAACATTTTGTTTAACTTAACTATTTTTTAGTAAAATGTTTGCTAAACTTATATGACTGATAGGAGAGTTCATTTATTGGAGGAGAGAGACTATTGACGATAGGTAGCAGACTCTTTGTTAAATATTTTTTCATTTTTACTACTTGTTTTATGTATCACCGGATGGTCTTATGTGTTTTATTAGAAGTCTTATTTATGTATTATGGTTTAGTGGATTTTTTATAATTGAATGCATTGTAGACTAATGTTTTTATTTAGAAATATTTCCTTTCGCCGTCCGATCCTCTGTTCCCGCCTAGTTTAATTTTAAGTTCCCGGGGCCAAGTAGTGACTTGCTTAATCGATTTGGGTCTTGTACCCAAAGCACTTTGTGGCCATCAATTGGTTTCCTTGGCTATTTGTTTTTTTTTAAATTATTTTGTATGTATTTGGAGACTCATATTGTGCATAGGATCCTTAGATTCTAGCATGGAATGAAAGATGCTTTTCTCTATCACAGGCTTTGCAATCAATTCCTTTCATCTTATTTTCTGTAATTGTAATTGATTTTTCTATTTAAAAAATTTGTATTGGCTTGCCCATTTTTTTCATGCTTCTTCCCCACTCTAACTCTAGGAATATCTACCCATTTTATTCTCACTTCTCAATCTGAGGCTTTGCGACTACTCGACCCATCTTTCTCTCTGCTTATCACAGTCTCTCCAATTCCCAAGTACCTTCTATTTCAGCCTTCTTCTCTCACATAATGGACCCTCCTATGTTTGAACACAGTATTCAAATATCACTTATGAATTATATCAAGGCTTTTTTTTCACTCGAAATTATATTATCAACATTGTGCAGAGGCATAAATGATTATCCGTTGTATAAGCCTCATGTGCGTTTTTTTTATGCTTGTGGAAATCATATATATATATATATATATATATATATAGCTAATATATTAAATATAAAGAAAGATACAAATACAATGTGTGGGAGGGCCCAAGCAAGACACCCTATCCAAACAAAAGCCCTAAAAGGTTTCAAAACTAGAAAAAACAGAAAATACAATAGATACTAAAATAAAAAGCGTAACAGTGCCGAAATACATAGTATCAGGTGGCTAGAGAGGACCCAATTTGGTCTTGCCTCTGCCTCTTGTTCTAGGGAAGGGGCACGCTAATAAGTTGGTAAGATGATTGCCATTGCCAGTACTAACCAATGTATCATCCAATATGTTCTGGAGTTGGAGTTGGTCTCCAATCTTCTTCTTCCTCCTGGAATAGACCTGCCATTCCTCATCCGAAGAATCAGTTTGATGGGGTGGTAGAGCTGAAGCAGAAAAAGTACCAACCGTAGTGCCCACAATAGGTTCTAGTATATATGGAGTATGAGTTGCCTCTACACCAGATACTTCCTGAAGAAGTAGAGCTACGAGACTCTCCTAATTATTAGTCTGAACACTATCATTTGTAGGTAATAGTCCATCAATATTGTTTTCTATGGGGTTTGAAGGTTCCAACATGACATTACTCGCTGTAACAGTAACAACAGGGGCAATAGAATCAGACACCAAAATTTGTTCCGTGGTAGCTTTCTTTCAAGGTTATACAAATATGTCCTTAGATCCATCCTTATTCACTTGATCTTTAACTTTCAAATTAGGGTGAAACTTATGACATTTATCAAGAGTATGCCCAAATATCTTATAATGAGAACGATATGGTCTATGCTCCATGACGATTTGTAGCCAATATCCATTATGCGTTGTGTCCAACCAGACTTCAGTAACATCAGACAAAGTAATATCTCTTTCCACAAATATTCTGGCCACAGAAGGTCTGATAAGGTTGAAAGTGGGTAGATCTAGCTTCATATGGTCCCCAAATATGACGTCAATAGAGTAAAGAACCTGATGATGAAAAAAGTGCAGCTTTAGACCAGTTAGATTGAACCATACCGGTATAGTAGGAGGTTCATGATTAGGGTCAATATCAGGAGACCACTTGAGTAGCTTCATTGGTTTACCAACAATGTTAAGATATTTTTTGGAGAAAATACGAGTGTAGTCTTCAGACACGATTAACTAAATCATTACATGTCTCCCATCCATGAGCCCCACTTTCCACTTTCCTTCTAATTTGAGATCATAAAAAATTTTTCTGATAAATTTCATAGCTGGGTGTTCCCACTGAAATTTCACAATGAGAGCAAATTTGAATGTCAGTCAGGGTTGAAATTTCTGACTTAGAGAAGAAGAGTGCTATCACCCACTCTTCATGCTTGCATTCTTAATAAATGGACAGTCACTTGTACCATCACGATTCTCCTTATAACTTGAGGGGAAGACAACCGCCGTCTCCCCCAACGTGGGCAAAAGAGGTTTTGTCGGGTTCAACCTAAGAAGGAGGAAGCTCCATCACAACAAGTCACAACAAGGAGTTGCAAGTCGGACAGAAAAGGTCGGGGGCGAAGCTGCGCAAAAGAGAGGAACTGCAGACAATAATAGGAGATGACGACTGCGCAGAACAAAATTGCAGCTTGACAGTCTAAACCGCATCACGACCACGCGCATAGAAGAACCGCGACGCGAAGACGCTGCAGAAGCGAAGGTCCAAATGTTGTTCACCGTCTTGGTCGTCGAGGGCAAAGGCAAAGATGACAAACGCAAAGGCGTAGAAAGGTCCAAAAGACGACGAACACAGGCAAAGTTTGTCTTCGTCGTTGTCGTCGAGTGCGAAAACAACGTCTTCGAAGAGGATAGATTGAAAGCCGAAGGAATCAAACCAGGGTTTCGCCATCGTATATATATATATATATATTCTAATACAGGGAACTCTTCCAAAATGTTCTTTCATGCTTTCTTGGCTTGGACTTGAAGATAACTCATCTAGATGCTCTGCTCGCTACCCATGAATGTCATCGATGACTCGGTTAGGGACAATTTTTGTTGTGAGGTCCTGTACAGCACCCATGCATGTCGTTTTGGCATGAAGTGTTGGCCTAACATGATTCCTCACAACCCCTTCTTAGGATGACATTGAAGTGTTGCTAAATTTCACTCACAATCCATTTAGAAAGTTATGCGATATCACAAACTTCTATTATTTGTGTTGTATGATGACCTTTTGATTAATTCTTACATTACGATTTATTGAGTTATTTTTCTGCATATGCATGTTCTTCCCTGAATATTTTCTACAACATACTTGTTGTTTCATGCAATCCTTATTTTGTGTAAACTTTTTTTTTTTTTGGGTACATTTACTTGTTTTTTCTTATTGCAACTTTTGATTTTACCATCACATTTTATTCCTGAAAATCATGCAAGCTTTTAGTATACTCTGAAGGATTTCATAATTATTTTACTAAAATTATCAGGAATAGTTTCGTGATGTACATTCATTATGTTTGTTTTTTTGTGCAGTTTGAGGATGTTGGGACTCATGGAACAAAAGTGTTAATATATAATCTTTGGATGAATGATACCGGCCTTTTGGAATTAGACTTTGATGACGATGATGAGGTATATGAAGTTTATGGTACATCTATATATTCTCTTTCGTAGTTTGCTATATTTCTTGTTGGCAAAATTTAATTCTCTGTCTATATGGAAGGCATTGGTTGCTTTAAAGTTGTCTCCTAAGAAACTTTATTTAACGTAAGGTACATGTACCTATGTTATCATCATGCTTGTCAGCTAAGTAGATTCTTTTTACCTTGCAGCTGAATTTACTGCATTCACAAAAAATATAGAATGTGGGCTTGTGACTCCAAATGCGGCAACAACTTTTTAATGTTTATATTAGCTTGTGCTTAATCTTTTTATCTCTCTTGCTCACACTTCAATTTTTACTTGCCTTTTGTTCTCTAATTTTGCCTTTGATGTCATATTCAATAGTCATGGAATGATGGATTGAAAAAAAAGCATTTTTAACCGAAATCTTTATTTCGAGGTCTGCAAGCTTGGGTGAGCAAATGAATGTTTTTCTAGCTTTTATTTGCTAAGAAATATTGACAAGAATTGGAGATAATTTATTGTGTATTTCATTCAAATATTTGTGCTGAATTTATATACCTAAGAGAAATTGTAAAAAATATACAATATTAGTAACTAATAAGCGAATGTAGAATCAATTACAATTTGTCAACTCATGGATTAGTAAGTTGGAAATAATGATCCCATGGATCAATTAGTAGACGATGAAACAAGGGACTCGGAGGAAGCAGACGGACAATAGAGGCGCTGACTGGGAAGATGCCTGGCATGAGCTGAAGAGGAATTCTTGAATTGAGTTGAACTGACCACTAGTATGGGCGTTGGCTGGCACTAGAAAGTCATGGGCAAATTTTCTTTATACTTCAAGAATGTTTGAAGGGCGGTTTTTCACACTCTCTTTTGAAAAGAATGAATGGATGTTATCCATTCTAAGCTCGTGTTTTAAATTTTTAAAGACTATCTTTGGTAAACCTGTTATCCGAGTTAACCCAAACCATCATAAAAATGTAAATCTTATTGTTAAAATTCTAAAGAGTTACAAACAAAGACTCCGGACAATAGGAAAATATGAACACAGGCACAAAAGACCCTCTAGGGCAAGGATGAATATGGTTGGCTACGGATGGAAAGCAGGGAGGTGGACTAGATGGAGGTTGGCGGCAACAACAGGTGGGCTCGAAGTGATTTACGACAATAATAGGTGGGCTGGAAGTGGTTTGCGGCAATAACAGGTTGGCTAGAAGGGGCTTGCGGAAATAGCAGGTGGCTTGGAAGGGGGTTGAGGGTTGCAAACTGGGAGGATGGAGGTTGAAGGCAGCAATAGGGAGGTTTGAGGGTGCTGGCAGAGAGCAGGCAAGTTGGGAGGTTGGTAATGAGAGGGTTTATGGGCTGCAGAAGACCACAGAACTGCTGTTCTTGGGTGAACTGCAGTAAGTACGGCGACGATGACAATGGGAGGGAGGTTACGGAGGATGGGATAGTCGAGGGTAAACACCACCTCGGAGCGATAAACTGCCGGAGCACCACTCTTCTTCGAACCCATTACTCATTGAGAACTGTGAGCAATTATTAAAATAGCTTCTTCCTATATTTATTTTGAGCAGCGTTCTTTTGAATAAAAGCTCTTGCAGTAGCAAGTGGGTGCATGATCGTTCTTTTGTTAACTACTTCATTTTCTTGGGTTTTGTTCACATAAGTGAATTCATGTATTATTTCTTTAACTCAATAGTATGAGGAAAAATAATGGTTAATAAGTTTTTGGTATTATTGGATTTGACTTTTAATTTCGACGCTAGATTAATTTTTAGTTATTTTAAATAATTTTTGAAAGATGTTATTTTTATCACTTCCTACTCTTAGTCAAAATATCAATCACGCACTATACAATTATATATAATGTTGATATAACACTAAACCTTAGAAATGCTTGGTGTAGAGGATGATCCTTGGATGTTGCCTTGAATAAGATAAAAATGACCTTGGTTTCTTGTGTTATTTATTAAAAATTAGCATATTTTTGTTTTGCTACTTCACAAACACATCGATGAAATTTATCAATTAAAATATTTTTGAATTTAAAAAAAATAATTTTGAGGATGACAGAAGAAGGATTATCAATACATAGGTGTTGGTGTGATATCCTTTCCTAATTGAATTTTCAGTTTTTGAAATAAAAGATAAGACAACAAGTTATGTTCAGCTATTTTGATTGTTGTATTTCTTGTGGTCTGAAACTCTCTTTCTTTAGTAAATCTAACATCTTCCCCATGCCATGTTTCTGAAATGCATAGCATGAAATATAAAATACAACATTGTATTTTGAAATTGTTGCCAGCTTTTGGATGGATAGGATATTGGTGAATAGTTTTTTTATGCGGAGGATATTTCAATATATAAGAAATTTGCTTATAAGAATATGTCGATGATTGACTATGGACATTAAGGACTTGTCAAGAAAAGTTATTTACTTATTTTTTGTGAACTAAGTATATGAAATAATTTTTTGTGAGAAGTTGGTCATATCATTGGTGGCTTTGGATTCAATAATTTAGGACCTAGATTTGGGAATCTCTGAGGTTTTAAACGCATAAACTAGGAGGTTATCCTTAAGAATGCAAGAGAATAAGTCTTTACTGAAGAAGTTTATTCCAGTAATACAAACTCAATTTTCAAGTTTTCTACATTTTGAGGAACTCAATGAGTAACTCCTTAGTGTTACCTTCTTTTGCATGTGTTTTCATGCTCTGTTCCTTTTATTGACTTGCTTTTGTTAGAATTTTCTTTGGTTGTTTTTCATGAGGCTTTCAATATCTTTTCTTTGTATGTCTAACCTTTTTTGTAGTATGTGTACCATAGGGTTCTCTGTTAATCATTATTTGGATTTGATTACTTGTATTTCTCAGAAGAAGTTTAAAATTGATGCATGTAATATCTGTCACATTTGTCACTAAGGCAAAACCTTTCATGTTGTTGGTAATGATAGCTTTCCATCTCCTTTCTTTCATTTGAAGGATGACTATAATTTCATTTAGGGAAGATGAATCATCTTTTTTATGAATTTGTAATATTTATTACATCAAACTCATTATTAAATGCATTAAGAAAATTCCAAAATTTTATTTTCTCAAAAAAACTGTAATCATTTCTACATTCCATTTGAATGTAATGACAGTGATCCATGTCTTCCGGAAAAGCTTGTATTAGATCGTCTTACAACCAAACAAATGGAAATATGAAATTGCAATAGACTTGACATGAAACATGCGACTAGGATGAATCCAAGGTGGTTGCAAGATGGGGAAGTGGAGCAAGTGGCAGTTGTGGTGGGGAAACAGTAGTTGCTTGCTGTCCTGGCAACAGCAAGCAGGAAGGGATGGCTGGAATACCGCGAAAAACCGTGAAAGACAGCAGCAACTTGCTGTGCCAGGGTAGCAGCAAGTAGGGAGGGCAGTTGGAACAGCAGCAAGGCTGCAGGGAGGCGGTTATAGGTGTCTGGAACAGAAGCAAGGCTGCAGGGAGGCGGTTATAGGTGTCTGGAACAGAAGCAAGGCTGCAGGGAGTGCGGTTCCGGGCTGTTGGAACAGAAGCAAGGCTGCAGGGAGGTAGTTCAGGGTGGTGGCAGCAAAGAAGGGTTGGTTGGTAGCAATGCGGGGAGGATGGGGAAGGGAGGAGGCGGTTGGGAAAGGGGAAAACTACAGGGAAAACAGCAAGGACAGCTGTTCTGGGGGCTGTTGCAACAAATGTGGGCAGCGAGGAGCGACGTGAAAAGGACAGGGAAAGGTAGGGGGAAAATATTCACCACCTCGGGAGCGAGATACAACCGAAACACCACTCAACCATGGGATAAAATTCTAGAAGGGAAAACTCTGACTGCTGTTCCGAACAAACATACACAAAAAGTTCCTCTAGAACATGACAAAAGAAACACAAATAGTTTATAGGGTAACAAGGAGTGGACCCCACTCCCAATAGGCAGCAATTCCATGCCTGGAAGGATTGGATGGTTTTTCCTATGCCTAGACCGAACAGTTCCTGGTACGGGGATGAGGCAATTGCAGCGCCAATTGGTGCGTGCGATCCACGTCAGATTGGGCCATTCTATAATGGATTGTGCTTTTTGTTTTGTGAAGGAGATTTTAATTTTGATCTCTAAGATTTGGGTTGCATTATTGACTTTATAATACGTTTGATTCATTTTGTCCTATATTTTTTTTGTTAAATGTTGAATATGCTTGTATCACTTATTTCAGGAACCATGGTGTTCCATAACTAGGACATCACTATAGAGTCATGCTGATCCTAGGCTTTGAATGTGGGTTCTTTGTGTTGAGGTCCGGTCCAAATATATAACCTAATTTTCCTCTTTGCTTCAAGAACCTGTGTACTCATTGTGACCACTTGAGATTATTTTTTTTGAATTCAAATGACATAGATGATTGTTTTCTATTTCTCCTACCGGATCTGTTTTTTCTTGCACATGAATTTAAAGCCAAATAGAACATGTGTACTATCGTGATCCATGGAAGCAAAATGTCGATTTTAGGTGGTTGCATAGAGAAAGAAGAATATAAATATGATTTAAACAATGAAGGCTACATATGAGACAAACTAGGTGGAAGGACGATAAGCTAAGTTTTCATGAAATTATGAATTCCAAGTTGTTTATACTAGGCGGCGAGCTCGATGAAAGCTTAGGGAATATGTCGTAAGCTTGCTCCGCCAATTCAGTTGAAATAATTCTTTGTTAACTTAAGAAAAATACCTATGTAGGTTTTCATGTTATTATGTGCATGACACTTGTATTTAAAAGTTTGTGCATATTGTGGATGAATACATTTATAGACTATATGTTGTGCCTTACGATACATGATTATACTATGTGATGAATCTGTTGAATATACATATGAAATCATTACCTATAGGTGTATTAATTTACTATGATTTATGCATATGATATAGGAAATGCTTATGTTGAATGCTTATTACAAGAATTGTAAATTCAAAAATGTCATAAGCGATGCAATACA